CAAAAACAAATCTAGTAAATCTAACTGCTGTGCCTGCTAGATCCCCGTGCGACAGAACCAGGGATTAACCAAGGATTCAAGAGTTTGCTTACCTGTTGACGGGAGACATGGGGAAATCCATCGCCATGGATGCGCAGCCGTCTCGCCGCCGACGAACACTCTGTTCTCCCCTAGGATCCCCTGCGGGTCAACCAAAATGGACAGGGCCACCGCAGCACCCATCCCCCCATGCTTACAGATGGGGTCCGGCGATGCCTCTGTAACGGACGGACGCACTGTACCACAAACGGCCGCGCGTCCGAGCGGTTAACGCCTCCTAGACGGGGGCGTCAACTGTACCTGCCTGGGCCCACACCAGCATGCCGTTCGCCCACCATTCCTCGACCCGGTATTTCCAACTCAATAATACATGCACACATCTCCGCGCGCTGCTGGCCGGCCCAGATATCAGGTTCATTTGGACCCGGGAGCCAAAACTCCCCTCCCGGGATAGTACAATCTTTCTTTGCCAGGAGGAACTATAAATCTAGTCTTAGAGCATATCCAGCCGTTCGCCTTCCCAGGGGATGGAAATAGTGCCGCCCTGGGGAGAACCGGCGATAATTTAGGTGTGGGGACGATCGGATTCCCAGCCGCTGCCCCAGGTCGCCCCCAGGCGACGTTTCTAAAGGTTTTTAATAGTCGGACAAAATTCGGGCAAACATGACACATATTTGACGATATTTAGGCGTTCCATCGTCTTTTTACATATTGAAAACATAACCTAATAGAAAAAAGTACTGCTGCCACGCCACCGCCGCCTGCGCGAGCCTACAGGTCGAAGAGCTTGCTGAAGGCGTCATAGTCGCCGCCGCCGTCGTCCTCCTTCTCCTTCTTCACACCGCGGCCGTCCCTCTCCAGCCGGGCCCAGTCCTCACATGCCCACTTGATGGCGGCCTCGTCGGCAGCGGCCATGTCATCGTGCTCGGTCTTCAGGGCGGCGAGCCCTGGCTCCGTCTTCGGCTTGACGAGGCGAGATGTAGGAGGAATAGAGGAGGCATGACCGCCCTCGTTGATGACGCGGGCACGCCCCGGGTGCGCCGGCCGATCGAGCGGCGTCTCCACGGGATCGGCCTTGACACTGACGAGCGCCGGTGACCCGAAGGAGCGGGAGGAGGAACGGGAGGATGAGGACGAGGAGGAGGACCCGCCCACCATGCGCCTCCGCAGCCACGGGGCGCCACTCCGGCAAAGGGCCGGGGCCGTCGGGTACTCGAGCGGCGGATCGTTGCCTCCCTTGAGGTACTCGAGGACGGCGTGGAGCGTGTGGCCGAGGGCGCCCCACCACAGGCGGCGGTCGTTGTTGTTGTTGCGCCCCTTCTCACCGGCGCGTGGTTGGTGGAGGCGAGCTGCTCCTCATGGCGGCACTGGAAGTACGCCAACCCAGTGCGTGTGGTCGTCGGTGGCGTACTCCGGGAGGTCCTGCACCTCTTCCGCCAGAGAGGCCCGAACACGCTCGATGTTGGCATGGAAGGGGCCGGCCTCGATCGGCTGCGGGGGAATGGGGATGCCTCCGGCGCTGAGCCTCCACCACCCCGGCACGTGCATGTCAGGCGGCGGCGCATAGTTCGCCTGGTGGAGGAGGTGGGCTTCCCACTCGTGCAGGTGGCGGCGGCCGAAGCCGTTGGCCTCAGCTCCGTCGCCGGGGAACCGCTCTCCCATCGGTGGGGTCGTACATGCGGTGAGAGAGGGAGACGATATCGGGGGCGTCGGCGACGAGAGAGAGAGAGATGCTGCGGGCGAGTGCATCCACTGGCGAGGGAGGGGCGGCAAGCATGTGTATGCGTGGCGGGAGGCGTGGCCGGTGGGGGCGCGTCGCCGCACTGCCCTGCCCGGTGAGGAATCAATGGAAGGCTGATCGGCGGCAGCCTTGGCATTGATTCCCCGCGGGGAACCGAGGCGATGAGGAAGACGAGAGGCGGCCGGTCGCTGACTCGGCGACCCTCCAGGCTTTCGCAGCAAAACGCTTCCCCCGGAGTCCCGGGCGCTGCCGATGCCAAATTCAGGCCTAACCGGCGAAAAATAGGCTTATGGGTGCGTGACTGGGCTGTGTTTTTAGTGCCGGCGATAAAAAAGGGCCCTGGGGGTCCTGTTGGGGGAGGGGGAGTGGAGATGCTTTTATACGGTTCAAATCCAGCTTGGCCTAAAAAATCTAGGGTTTCATGGATATGAACAAGAGAAAATTGTGCATGTTAGAGCAACTTCAATAGCTCTCCTATTAGCGAACTGAACGTAGCTCAAATGGTTAAATCTCTTGCGGTGGAATAAACCCAAAAGGGTTTAAAGTACTAGGCTTGACAATGGTGCTTCCATTTATCTGGATTCATTTCAAGAATTCCGGCGATGTTCGTTCGGTGGGAGGAGATGTTTCCATCGACTACGAAGGTGTTCAAAGAGGTAGGATGAGTGTATGTATGTGAACATCTGCGTTGTATTACGTTAAAAAATACAGCTCTCCTATCCCTGTTTACGAGAAGTTGAGACAAAAATAGCCCCTCGAAACCTCCATGAACCCAGTTTTTTTTACAGGATTCCATATATATACGGGCTTTGCTACATCCACGTAAATATTCTAGGTAAATTTATGTAAGAGCTAGCTTGTCAATAATTGATTGGAAGAAAGAATTGCCTGGCCCACCCACCTGAAATCGGGAGGTAGAGTATTAGATCGGGAGGTAGAGTATTAGATTTGGAAGTTTACGCAGAGTACGTAGGGAGATTGGGTAGGTCTAGGATTATTGCATATATATTTGCCTCAACCCCTCTCACATTTACGGAAAGATAATCTTCTTGTATAATTTTGGCGGACTCAAACCACCTGGACACCCTCGCGCCGTTGCCAGGCCCGCTGTCGCACGGTCCAGGCATGCCGCGCCTCCTGCACCGCCTGACCTTCCTGCCTTCCCACGGGGCCACACCACCTTGCCTCCCCGCGCCACAGCTCGCCGTCTCACCACCACGCGGCCCCGTCGCTAGGACCACACCGTTGGGCACCCAGCTTGTGTGGCAATAGTGATGGGCAACGCTGCCATGACACTGATTTGCGGGCTCTAGGCATGTTTAATGAAAAATAGAAAGAAAAAATAGAGGAATATTATTGGTAGAGGAATATGTTTAAGGGACTGAGAGACAATACATCACCAGACAACTTCTCCTAAAATATACTATTCCATGGACGGAAGGTTTTTACAGGAGCTGAGTTGCTCATTTTAGTGGGAGAATATCATACGGAAACAAGGCTATTTTAGTAGAACAAAACGAGGACGCATAGTACATAAATGCTTCTAAGCATCATTCGCAAATTGGTCCAGGAAAGTCCTCAGATTACGACCGGACGAGCCGCCGGCCGCAATCGCTTGCTGCAACTTCGCCTTCCACGTCGCCGAGCTCGCCCGTATGGCGGCGCCCTCCACCCTGTCACCCATGATCAGTTCCAGGCACCTTGAGAGCTCCCCCGCCTCCAGAACCCTGTCAACGTCGGTCGCGGCGCGCACGCCGATGCCCCACTGGACGACCAGGCGCGCGTTCGTGTCCTGGTCGGACCACTGTGGCACGGCGACCACCGGCGCGCCGCATGCCACGGTCTCCAGCATGGAGTTCCAGCCGCAGTGCGTCACGAAGCACCCGACGGCCGGATGCGACAGCACCCGCACCTGGTCGCACCACCCAACCACCATGCGCCGCTCGTCGCCGGCGTCGTCAAAGCCATCGTCTCTGTTGTTGTTCCGCACCACCCACAGGTACAGCCGGCCGCTCGCGGCGAGGCCTCGCTTCAGCTCGTCCTTCTGTCGCTTGCTCACCGCCGCCATGCTCCCGAACGACACGTACACCACCGACCGTGCTGGCTTCGTGTCCAGCCACTCCATGTACCCTTTTTCGTCGTGTTCAAAGAGATCTCCTACTGCGGCGGCGGCGCCACTCGTGCCGCCCTCGCCCTCAGTGAAGAGCGACACCACGGCTGGCCCGACGGGGAAGACGTCCAGTGCAGGAACCGACGCGAGTGCACCGGCCTCTAATTCTTCGACGGTGTTCACGAGCACCATGGCTCGTCTGCTTCCTCCAGCGCTGCTGCTACTGTCGACGTCCAGGTCCAGCTGCTCGAACGTCCTGCGGATGTCCCCGAACGCCGCAACTAACCTTCCATCCGTAAGATTGGTGAAGAAGCTCGGGAGGTCACGGATCGCCATCTGCGGGAGGCCCGGCATAGACACCGTGAACCCCGGCTCGGCAGCATGCTCCGTGACGAGCCTCTCGTACCCATGGAAGTAGTGGTAGTACACGGCCAGCATCGTGGCCGGCTGGATCCAGTAGAGCGCCCGGGGCACGCCGCGCTCACGGGCGACCTCGGCGGCCCACCACATGAGCATGGCGTACACGACGCACGTGACGGGTTGGCCCCGCGCCGCGAGGCGGTCCAGCACCGCCGAGAAGGTCTCGCGGCCGACGCGGCCGAACGCCTCCACGTACCTCTCCGCTTCGTCCCCGTCGCCGGCGAAGAGGCTGAAGCCGTGGTCGTAGCCGTCCGAGTACGGGATGTAGGAGATGGCGCCGTCGTGGACCTCGTCGTCGGGGGACGCCAGCGAGGGGAACATGCGCCTGTGCGCGGACACGGAGGCCGAGAGCGTGACCCGCGCGCCCGGCGTGGCCCGCGCGAGGCGCTCAGCCAGAGCGCGCGCCGGGTTGATGTGGCCCTGGCCCGGGAACGCGACGACCAGGAAGTGCAGCGGCGCCATGGAAGATGATGGATGAGCACGGAGACTATCTTGTCTTCGACCTAGCTACCGCCTACCACAGCTGGCTGCTGCTGCTGGTCGAAGCACGCACCCCCTAGAGTTTATAATGGAGTGACGCTTGGGTTGGCATGGCGCGGGGCGGCCGTCTCACGTCAGGTGTTCTAGGTAGGATAGGCACGGCGCGCTACTCCTGCACGGTATAATTACGGGGACGTCATCGCTTGCGGTAGCGATGCTTGACCCGCCGCCGTTGGATGGGGATACTTCACCTGCCATAGCTAGGAATGCTATATATATTGCCCGCCAGGCACACGAGACGCTGCGTAATTGCCTGGAAATTCTTAGCATCTGAAACATGCATTTACCCGCTTGAACGAGGATCATCATGTTTTTCTCGTGACGAGATCGTTAGAGGTCAAAATTATCTATACCAATATAAAAAAACACCAAAAGGGCAGATCCAATGACCTACACTGCTTCAGTGTCGAGCTCTCGACACGTTTACCATGCAGTTAATTTCATGCCAAATATAATTCTAATCATATAAAAACATGCAAATAATATCTTACTACTTAATATCTGAATGCACTTAATATACTTTCAAATTAATCATGCATTGCAAGTACACATTCACTAGTAAGATTAGAAGAAGGTTTTTGGCATGTTTTAGTTCTGTTTTGGCAGTGATTTTTCTTTCTTTTTTTCCATCACGTATACTCACAGCTATGAGCCTAACTGATATATAGGTCATGTACAACCCTGCCAGTGGCGG